TATTACATTTCTAAAGTATTTGATAACACGCGGTGTCAACGCAGCAATCTCCAGTATCTATTTTACGGAATTCTCTATAAAAATAATCTCTAGTTGTAAAAAGAACCATCATTGTTGATGACAAGAGTTAAATTGGACCAATGCAGGCAACTTTATACATCGTTCTATATAAAATTTATAGCATGTTTCTTGTTATACGATTGAAGGTTCATTGCAGGTCTATCTCTAATTCCTAGACTGCAGGCATTTTGTAATCATGATGTTATAATATAAAAATAAAGTGGATTGTTGATAGCAAGCCGGCGGGCGGTGGCGGCTCGTGCGATCGATCGGTCTCGGCGCATTCGAGCCGCATAGGTGTGGAGGAATGCAGCCGCGTCCAGTGGGTGCTCTGCGACCACACGGTGCACACACTACACCCACGGTCAAGGACTGTCCACAATGTTGAAGCATTTTATCGATTATTTAGTGTCAAAATTTTAGTGGCCGTCTTATCCGTCAGTTATCTATGCTTGATAACTTAATTGAAATATTACCTGTCTCCATATTTAATCAGAATTATAGCAAAGTATAGGGAAAATACTAAATACTAGAAAAAGTTGGACTTGTATATTTTTATTTTGATAAGAATCGAAGACCTTCCTGTATACTACTTGGTCACCCTATCGTGTCATACTAGTCTCAAGATTAATATAAAACCTGTGGAGCAACGCGTGGCGCAATATTACGGGAAATTAAAGGGGCCTGATGCAGTCGCGGTGGGAAGCAGCCTGACTGGCGTGCATGCAGAGCCGACTGCATAACCAAGCTACAAACCCGCACATTACAAAATACATTATAATAACTAGCTATTATAGAAACATTAATGCAAAAAACACGATATACGTAAGATAGATGGAAACGTATTATCATACTAAACAAGGACTATATAAGAAACATTAAAAGTAATTTTAAAACTTGACTAACTTTTTGATTTATAAAAAAAATATTTCTTAGTTTTATTCCTATTTGACTATACGGGGCACTAATTTGCAGCACATATTCTATTTAAAATAAGAAAAAAAAATTAGGCGATTATCCGTTACATTAGCTACATAAACCGGTTAAAACTGTACTTAACGTTTTGTATAAAATTAGTTATTTATGATAATGTTAATGAAGTTTGAGGCGCGGGTGTATCAGAGCGATAGGGAAGGTAAAACAATTAACAAAACAATTGAATAATAATTATTTGCTGTACATGACTTTGCACTTTACGTTATTTCGAGTACTTTACTCGTCTATCCGTTTTCAAAAGAATATTGTAACTCCGGCGAACTGAAATCCGGCGCTTCACACACGCCGAATAAATTGCTTTTTATTTAATTTTTTTTAATAAACGAATTTCTTTCTTTCTTCATTAACATTTTAACCATATTCATGGTTATAAGCCTAAAACATATATGCCACCGATAAATCGAGAATGCCGGTCGTTTGAAATCTTCCTAGATAAATTAAAAACGGATGGCAACCACAATCTGTCCAAGATAAATATATCTTGAACAATCACATCACAGTCGTCGCCAGCAAAGACTAGGTCTAGAGTTCTACCATTAATGTGGTCTTATATACTAATATAAAAAAAAAGATTTGTATTTTTGTATATATTGAAATAACTCAAAAACTACTGGGCCGATTTCAAAAATTCTTACACCGAAAGGCAATTTATCTATGTGTAACATAGGATATATTTTTTTATTATTTTCTTAATTTCACGCGGGGGAACCGCGACCAACAGCTAGTCTAATATACATCTGCATTTGTCCCTACTGCTATAGAGATGCCCATCTAGCATTAAATAATTGCCTAAATTTGGAGTCAAGGACCCTATATTGACCGTATTGCGAGCCGAGTCGCTGGGCGGTGACGCACGGACAGCCGTACACAGCAATTTACTCATTAAACCCACGACCTTGACGAGATGTCAATTTTCCTGTTTTCTGACCCAACTATAACCTATGCTTAATTTAAACACTTACGTACTTATGTGTTTGTAAATCCCATAAGAGGAAAAATGTTTTATTTATGGTAATTATAATAAGTTACTTTGTAATACATGAAAATATACATTTACGTGATACAAGTTTTTTCTCTAAATACAAAATGTTAGTAGATTTTTGTATATTAATATTACTTGTAACCATTCAAACTAAGTTCATTTGGATGGCAGACAGGATTCGAACTCTCGACCATAAAAGCATAGCCATAAAGGGTATATTACTTCATCAATACTAATATTATAAAGAGGAATGATTTGTATTTTCATATGTATTGAAATAACAAAACTATAGGGCTAATTTTAAAAATTCTTGCACCATTAAAAAGCTACATTATCATTGTATAACATAGGCTATGTTTCTACTATTTTTTTTTAATTGCAAGTAGACGAGTTTCGAGCTACAGCTAGTAAATTGTCGTCAACTTTATATTGGATAATGGTTCATTTCCTCTGATATTGTTCATTATCAGAAGAGGATGAATGTTTTAACATTTCAAAAATAATATAATAACCTTAAATTATCACTAGGACATGATTATTCATATTTCATTCGAATTCTGTATGAAACCACGCTGTATTTCTTTAAATAAATTAAAAAATATTAGCATGAAGGATTCCTATTGATATTCTAATAAGACTAAACAGTTTTGTGGGCCGGTCACATTTGTCGGAACAGCGACGCCAAGTGGGGGAGGGAAGTCCTCGAATGGAGGCCAGGAAATGGGACCAGGAGCATAGGCGTCCTCCACCCAGGTGGACCGACGACTTTGTGCGCACGGCGGGAAGTCGTTGGATGCGGAAGGCGGAGGACTGCAATCTGTGGAAGGTATTGGGGAAGGCCTATGCCCAACAGTGGGCAGATAAAACCTGATGATGATGATGATGATGAAACAGTTTTGTACATTAGAGTAGTAGATTATTAAGGAGTTTCTACAAGTTTACTTTTAAAATAAAAATGAAACATCACTGTACATAAAAATTCTAACATAACATTGCTAATAGCAAAGAAAATCCAATAGTAATAAAAACAGTGTCAATAATAAAAATGTTGAATAATTATTTATGGTCGTAATGGCGCCATTATGAGTAATTACATTTTTATAGCTGAAGAGAATATAAACAAGCAAGTAAACACGAATCATCAAGTCTCTTTAACTTAAATAAAAAGGTAAACATGAAGAGTAACTATAAACTATTCTAATACTGAGTCATAAATGTAAATGTACATAGGAATTTAACACTTGATATATACTATAACTAGCTTTCGCCCGCGATTCCATCCGCATGGAATTAAAAAAAGAGTACCCGATGTGTTCTTCCAGACTATCCTCTACATCCACCATATTTCATCGAAACCCATTCAGCGGTCTATGCTACAAACTCTAACAAGCATCCATCTAAACTTTCGCATTTATAATATTAGTATGAAGTATGATAAGAAAATTTACATGTATGTTTCTATAAAACTGCAGAAAAGCTTAACAGTAGAACAGAGGCTAAAAACCAGCACGGCCTTTAGTGACAAGCTGAAGACCGCATCAGCTGAGCCTTCTCCTTTTGGCCAAGAATTTTTATTTTTTATTTTTATTACAGTAATATATTTTGTAAGTTGTGTTCCTTTTTATAATTCTTTTGGTCAATAAATAGTGTTTTTTTTTATTTATTTAACATATAGACTACTAACAAATATTGTTATGTTTTGCAACAGATCCTGGATAACAGCCAATCATCATCCCCCCTGCCTTATCCTACTCCTGTAGGGTCGGCATACCAGGTTTTCGTCCTCCAAAGCACTCTATCATCCGTCATCTCAGTCATCACTCCCTACTTGATCATGTCACCTTTCACGCAATCTATCCCTCTCTCCTCTGGATAACAGCCAATATAAATCATATTGCAAGGAAATGAAACATCTTCCTGTCATTATATTGAGAAATAGGGCACACAATCTGTCAGTACTAGTGATAGCAACAGGATATGACATATTTCGTTTTTCTTATCAATAAAATGTGCAAGACCATTAATTCATAGAAGTGTGATAATGTAGGAAGTGTCATAGGAAAGGGATGTATCATTTTATAACAAAATTAGCTTTCACCCGCTACTCAGTCTGTGTGTAAATTAAAAAAAAACTAAAGTAAACCTATGTGTTCTTCAGAGTATCCTCTACATCTATGTCAAATTACAACAATATACACTAAACAGTTTAAGCTATAAACTCTAACATCCATCCATCCCTCTAAACTTTTGCATTTATAATATTAGTAAGATGTTTAAATGGCAATTTTAAAAAGACAATGGAAACCCAACCTTAAGATGGATCACAGCTAACTAATTTATTATGTTATTTCTTAAAACTTTAAGTAAATACTAAATCTTACTTATGAGTTAATCTGTATTAGTAAAGATGATAATAAAATATAAATATTTTTTTTTAGTTTTAGTAATATTTGAGAAGAGAATTCATTGTTGGTATCAAAAACTTATTAAATTTGCTTATCTATAGTATATGAGTACCTATTTATATAAAGCACATTTTTTTATATCACAGTTTACCAGACAAGACAAAAGGGAAGTCCGCGACCTGTGCCTACCCCCGAGGGTTAAGGGCGTGAAATACGGTCTTGTTGTGAAATGTTTTGTTTTTCCCAGTTATACACTTTAATTCTAAAGAAGGCTACGTCTTTATCACCCTGGCATTAAATAAGGAACTTTCAAACCAGATATCGTTTGTTACTACAATTAATATCAACTTTACGCACAAAAATGTTGTAGAAAATTAATTATTTATTAACGCAAAACGTTACTTTCTTTGTAAATTGTTTAATGTGTTAAAATGACAATTTAAACTGTGTCAACAATTTAAAAACAATGGGCGTTACTCCTCACAAAATAAGCAAGAATCGTAAACAAAAATTGCAGTGTTTGTAAACAAAAATGCCGGCGGTTTTTGTTCACTTACCAGCACTTTAATGAAGCGGTTCTCCAGCTCATCCCGGTCGGGCATGGGAGGTTTTGTACGGTTCCTAGTTGATGGCTGCCGTACATGGTTACTCTTCGTAGACGCAACTGGACCGTCCAGCATTGTCGGCTCCCTCGAAGTTATTAAACCCATTTTACACTGATCACTTAAACAACCACCAAACACGTACTCCATCAGGTCATTTTATATCACAGGGAATCTCAAAATCACAGTTTCATTTATAAAAAAGTCACATTAGGCGGAACAAGCTCAACTGAAATCGAAAAATGTAAACGAATGGAAGGCGAAACGCGCAAGCGAGACAAGACACAACGGCGGAGGCTCGTACAAAAGTGAAGTTTGCGAGAGCGCCATTTGCTGGATTTCTGCATTTGAATCTGACAGTCAACTGACAGATTTGACAGTTCTTTGAGCCAATCAAAATTATTTCGTTCGGAAACATCAGAAGTATAAAGGTTAAACATATTAGTACTAAATAAATCGTAATGTAATATTTATATGTTTTATGATAGATTTTTTAACTATTTGTATCACACGGCTTTATAGGGTTACTTGAAACCGAAAACTTATAGATGTACAGTCTATTTATCGGTTTCATACAGTCTGGATAGAGGTAAGGTGAAAAGGTGTAGCCAGAATCGAGCTAAACAGAAACTCACGATCTCCAGTTACTCTACTGATCTCTCGGTTAATAGAGGTAATGAAATTTGAATATTACTTGGTCAAAGTAATTGTATTCTCGCGTTTTTATTCCTATCATATTAAAACAGGACAACGCCTGGTTTACATTTATACTAGCTTACGGCCGCGACTCCGTCCGCGTGGAATTAAAAAAAACAAAAATGAGTGGCCTATATGTTCTTCCAGACTATCCTCTACATCTATACCAAATTTAATCGAAATTCGTTCAGCCGTTTAGGCTACAAACTCAAACATCCATCTTCCATGCATCCATCTAAACTTTCGCATTTGTAATATTAGTAAGTTTACATAGCTCAAAATCAGCAACCACCGACGTGACCCCTTACAGTCCACGCAAGACCTTCGCTACAGTCCTTGTCCTGAAATGTACTGTAGGCTAGGACTAAGTACATAGACTAATGGGAGGTCCAAGGGAGAATAAATGTAAAGGATGATATTGAAAATAAAACACTATTTGCATACAATTTATTTATTATTGGCTTTATGTGTAGGTAGAGAAATACAGCGGTAACGAGAATATGTTATTGCCCGTGGCATATTAAAGGAATAATACAATCCACCAATACTCGTGTTAGCACCGTTTTTTTTTTGTTTTTTTCTTTTTTTACAAACATACCATAACCTTATACAGCTATCAAAGTGAAATAACGAAAAGTTTATGGTCTTTTTAACATTTTTTTTTACATACGTCTAGAAATTCTTAAATATTATTATTAGCTTTATTATTTGATATATTGATCACACAACATTCTACAACTAGGTTAATGAACTTACAATATTGATAGACAAGTTCTTAACCATACGCAGCTCTGTCCGTGGAGTGAGCAGAGATACACTCGAAACAATTTGGTCCGGCTTCAACAAGAAGAGTTATTTTGTTATTCATTTATATGGAGTCTCCACATCAATACAGTCTTTGGTTAGGACAGAGAAAATCGGAAACTACAAACTTAACTTACAATATCACAAGCAAAAGACAAAATAATACCGCATACGACATCAGTCAAACTTTACTTTCATATAAACTGTTATTTTTCTAGAAGAATCTCTGAACGAAACTTAAAACTACAGCATATATTTGACAACAAAAAATTATGTTTTTAAATTCCATTTCAATACACATTTCATTAATCTGTGACATATCGTCAAAAACGAATGTTGCCATTTGCAAAAATATATAAAAAGCAAAGTGTTAAGCGTTTTTAGACGAAAATTCCCATAAACGGGATAGCTAAACAGCTAAGAACTAAGTGTTAGCCCTACGTGATGACGAACGACTAAGTTAGAACCGACAAAGGGTACAATGCACCAAGTACTATGCGAAGATCGTACAGTAATGTACATCGTTGATTTGTCCACAACTACTTATTTTACACGTACTGTTTAATACTTTCGAGGCAAAATCCGCTCGTAAAACTACAATAACGCACCTTACACTAGGTATAATTAAATACATTTTCATTATCGTATTTCTAACTGGCTGCCTACGGAAACGCTACAAAGCAAGCTTTAGGATGCGTCCAAATTGGCTTTGAATTCGCATTTCAAGACAATTAACTGTCATATTACGACCACATTGTCAGTCATCAGTCATTGTTCAAACCCATGACTCCTTTTAAAGCATTTTTAAGAAAACACTTGGATAATCACAAAAACCCACATAGTCTGAACGCATCCTTTAATATTACTTAGCTAAATACCAAATCATACATTAGTTCTAACCACAGATAATACTATTCTAGTTCTAACTAATGCTTGATAATAACTTCGTAGCAGCATTCAGCTGATAAACGAGCCGATACAGATTGTGGTCACCACAATCCTTAGCTAGCACCCTTTAATTCAACTACTTAAACTTGGACGCATCAAATGAAAATGTACAACATAAAGGCACTCTAAGTATATTGCCAAGTTGCCGTACGTCCTTACTTAGTTACGACATACCAACTAGACACTACCGACATCACAACAAAACCCAAATGAAAGCAAACACTCGATAAGAAATGCTTGTAACCTTTGTAAAATAACATAACCTATACGCGTCAACTACCCGCCCTCTAACTTCTAGAGTATCCCTTTTATAAAAGTATAAAATCTCAGGAACTTTATTTACAGCGTTTTTTATCTGCAGTATACTGCTATGCAAAATAGTGTTGCCAGTATATATTACACTTAATTTTTTTATTTAAAATATTAAATTTAAGAAAAAAACAATTGCTTACATGCACCAATTGATCTGCTCCTAACTTAATTTACTATTATTTTATATGGATCAATTAAAAGCGAGATAAAATAACTTTTAAAACACTGCTTACGTCATAAATGTCAGATACTGCTAGGATAAAAATTCAATAACAAATCAACAATTTCATTCCGTTATTTTTCTTAACATGCAAAAATTACTGTACAATTTTTTTACATTTGTTTTGAGTTTTAACTTGAAACTAAATTAAATAGCTGGCAATATCTAAACATAAATTTCTATTTGGATTTTTTATAACTTTTTAAAACTCTTGTGATTATTAAAAATAATTTAGTTAGCCCTTCACAAATACAATGACTTGTAATTCTCATATACGGATTTAGTATATTTTTTTACGATTTTAATGCTAATTTTCCTTTAATACACACTTTATAAAATTTATTACTTCTAGCAGAGATATTTCATACAACATTTATATGTAACAATTACATTGTACATGACCTATTCAATTTTATACTCGACATTTTTTTACATCAGTAATTATTAAATGTTTCTTGCATATATCTATAAAATTATCAATATTTAAATCGATTATAAAACTAAATTTTAGGACACTGTATTTTTTTATATGGAAGACAAAGAACAATTGACTTCGGGAGAGACAAACAGAAAACAATTAAGAGACTTACTATAGGGAACTTAGTACAAGAGACTTACCAGGGAGGGGGGGGACTAATCAGGGGGGTTTACTAAGGGGGGTTTAGTATTAGGGGCTAATCATGGGTGTTTACTGAGGGGGCTTTAGTATCAGGGGCTAATCATGGGGGGTTTAGTATGAGGTACTTATCACGGGGTACTTAGTACGAGGGTCATACCATGGGGGGGGGGCACTTAGTTTGGTTTTCAATGAGGGTACTTAGTGGTAGGTTGGTACTGTGGGGGGTGGAGAGGGAGGAGGAGGGCTACTTGGAGGAGGGGTAGTAGTAGAGCACGGCGCAGCCCGGCAGCTGCCAGCGCGAGGCGTGCAGCTCGATGAGCTGCAGCAGCGTGCGGCGGATGCAGGGCGCGGCGGCCGTGTTGAGGAAGGCGTCGCGCACCGCCGTCAGCAGGCGCTCCAGGTCGCCCGGCAGCTGCGACTCCAGGTCGCGCCCGATGTACGTCAGCACGAAGAACAGGTTCTCCGTCTGGAAACACGACACATTCATTTAACGGAAAACAGGGTATAACTGAAAAACTGTCATAAATGCGTTTCTTTTAAATTTGGATAAAACTGAAGAACTATTACATGGATGATTGGATGGATGTTTCTTATAGTTATAGCCTAAATTTTTGAAGAGATTTTAATCAAATTTGTTATAAATGTAGAGGATAGCCTGGAAGAAGATATAAATATGATTTTTTTAAATCCACGCAAACGGAGTCGCGGGTCAAAGATAGTGGACTTCCGACTTCCCAATAGAAGGAGGTACTCAATTCGTCTGTGTGTATTTTTTTAATTTTTTATGTGGGTTATAGCATAACTCCGAAAAATAGTGCGAAAGCAAAAAATATAAAAGCATTTTTATGCTTTTACATTTTTTTCATTGAAATGTTATAACATAGCAGTAGATGCAGTACTAACGTCGCTGGGCGAGGGCACGGGCTGCCGGATGCAGTCCTCGCAGCACTTGCAGATGAGGGTGAGCAGCACCTGCCCGGGCTGCGCGCTGGCGCCGCGCCGGTGGATGGCGCGCCGCCGCAGCTGGCAGTACATCTCCAGCAGGAACGACAGGAACGCCATCAGCCGCGGCCGCCCGCCGCCCACCACCGCGCCCAGCAGCTGGTATATCAAACTTTGAACTAGAGGGAGCGTGACTAGAAATAACTGTTCTCCTGGCAACGCTTGTTTTTTATATGATAAGGTGGCAAAACAGCGAGCAGACATATGAATTCGCCGAGAAAGCGAAACGACTGTTGCTCATAGACATCTACAATAGAAGATGCGTTCTCTATTCTTAATCAATAGAGAAGGAGATTCACATAAAGTTATTCTATCCTCCATCTCCTCCACCGTCAAATCCACTTTTCTTTCACATTTATGAGGAAAAGATGGGAGGGGAAAAGGACTAAAATTAGGCCTCCTACACACTCAACAGACAAAACGCAGAACTGCTTCCACTACACCACACACCTATCTTCTGTGTATACCTTATCACGGTCGTGATAGCACTGCTGGCAGGTGTTGAGCAGCGACTCCAGGAAGGTCTCGGCGTGTTCGCGCTCGACGACAGCGATGCAGCGGCGCGCGGCCGGCAGCGCGTACCGCGGCGACTCCACCGCGCGCGACACGAGGTGCCCCACAGCCTCCATCAGCGTGCGCGCCGCCACCGAGTTCGGATCTGACGACCAAACATGCTTCTTTACCGTTATGGACTTTGTCATTATAAAACACCTTTGGAAAGTGTTTCACTCTTAATATCTCACTAATTCTTACTAGTTAATACAAATGAGAAAGTTTAGATGGATAGATGTTACTATATGTTATGAGTTTGTAGCCTAAAGTGCTGAACGGATTTCGATAAAATTATGCACAGACGAAAATGGTTTAGAAGGATAGTTAGGGGACTTACTAAGCTTTTCATTGTAATTAAAAGTTATTAATTAATAGTCGCAGAGGTAAGCTAGTATAATAAATAATTCCGTTGTAAAAAAGATATTTATACTTTTAAGTGTTTAAAACTGCAACAATTTTATTAGATGTTCTGTAAACGTAGCTGGGGTCATGCCTGCACCTGGCATAAAATGTTACAGCCTTATGCAAGTTTCCTGAAAGAAATAAAATAAACCATAAATTCTACAGTAATCTCACCATCAAGCGCCTTATCGATGCACTCCTGTATATCGGGGGGGAAGGCGCCGAGGTCGCCGGCGTCTGCCGCGAGGCCGAGCGCCGCCATGCCGCTGGCGAGCGTGTCGGCTGAAGTGAGAGACTTGGAGCGCTTCAGGCCCGGAGTAAACGACTGCGGCCGCACGCTCTTGCCATTGCCGTTGCTAAGCGACGACGGCGGCGACTTCTTCTTGTCAAGCTGCTGCGGTTGCAGCTTGAAATGCACGCGGGGGCCCACCTGAAAACATACACTACCGTCTTAAACAACTATCAAAACATATAGGTTGTTATTTACATAACTATTAGAGTCAATTTAAACCTATTGGAATAAAATCCTGAAGATATCTTACTACTCCTATTATATTGGGATGTCATTTAAATTTTGAAACACTTGTTTGTATCAAAATTTTGTTAACTGGCGGAAAGCAGAGTGTTCTCATCTTTTGCAAACAAAACATTTGATTACTACGTTGTTGATATCACATGATACACATGGCATAACCGAAGTAGATATGGAATTTCAGTGAAGTATTAAAAGTACCCTTGTAATGTGGAAATATAAATAAACATTTTAGATTCCCACGATTATAGAAAACATCTATTATATCGCTTCTCGGTGTAATCTCTCCAGTTTACATTACTCCAGTCCTGTGATCAAATTCAGCGCTAAATGATTCTAATGTAATAGAAAATTCTACACATGATTGTGTCGTGTCGTGTCGTGTTGTGCATACAGACCGTGGCGTGCGGCACATTGCCGCTGGAGGTGGTGTTGAGTAGCGCGTGCGGCGGCAGCACGGGCCGGTAGTGCGGCGGCACTTGCGCATGCAGCACCGCCGACCGCGAGTGCTGCAGACCCACGCCCGCATAGCCCACGCTCATCGCTGACCTGCAATTGTTATATTGACATAAAAACAAAGTATTTGTAGGAAACATGTAACTAAAACTAAGGTATAGACACGGCAAAAATCTGTACGTTAGTCAACAGCGACATTTCGCACTAGCTGTTTGCTCACAACTTTATCCCCGTGCCATTAATGATAAAAACATGACCCATGTTACTCACTAATGCCGTGGCTTTTTAAAGGGGAAAGAATTTTTGAAATCGGCCTTGTAGTTTTTGAGTTATTTCAATACATACAAAATACAAATCTTTCCTTTATAATATTAGTATAGATATAGATAAGTCATTCTGCATAATCTATGCACAAGCATATAATCTAATTTGCCTATAGTATAGAACGATGACGTCACCAAGAAATCCTTTATCCTTTAAACGCATACACGCAGTGTTTGTTAAGACATTGTCCCATGCCGCTCACATATTGTTCGTCCAGGTTTGGGCATCGTGCGTCCTGCGGCAATCGAATTACAAACGAAATACTGCTCGGACTATCGGAAGCGTCACTTCAATAACGATTTGCATTGGCCGATTGTATTGAAACCTTATTCGATTCATAAGTACTATCGCATGCAATAATACCAGTACGTAATTTAAATATTACTCGTTTATCGGGTTTGTTACGAAATCGCGAAAGCAAAGATGACATAGTTAAAACGATAAATCGACAAGCACGTAAATATGGCAAATAAAGCCTAAGATTCTGTTGTGGGAATAGAATTCCCTAAATTTCGGTCAAATAAAATTATGAACATCCTGTACACAAACTATGTAGGGTTATCTTATGCAACCATAACACAACAATCTGCAGGTGTGTGGTGTTACGAACATTATTGGTGAGCGGGGCCGACCTGTCGCTATGTAACGTGGGTCAGAAATGAGGGCAATTACCCATCTCCTGCCGCGGACCCTCCGCCTTTATCTTACAAACAGCACAACAAAGGTCAAAGGTTCGATAGCCAACTTTGATTGCGTTTTTAATAAACATAATTGAAAAATACAACTTTAAATTTTAATAAAAATGACGAATACTTTCCAATTTATTTTTAAATTAGATACCTTGACCCAACTTTCGAATGTTCACCATGACCCGAATATGTTAATGCTTTCAGGAAGACTAAATTAAACAAAACCGTTCTATTACTAATATAGTAATAGAGATAAACAATTTTATGAGCAAATTTCTTGGGCTTGGAAAAAAAATATTATAATATTTTTTTTAAAAAAGAACCCAATAATAAATTGTATAAAAATTTTATCACGAATTCAAAACGAACACATATGAATCATGATAATTTGAAAGAGGATTTGCCATAAATCGGTAAATTACATCATGATGGTTACAACGAAGTCAACGGTCTTTAAATTATCAATTCCAAACGAAGCGACCGTCCTTTTAAGTGACAATTACTAAAGCTTATGACTCAATTTATTTTACTTCGGTATCGCACAGCTTAAAGTATCCAAGTATTTTATCTTATTAATTGAATTTAAACTATGTTAGGTTTGTTGCCAATCTTTAATCTATACTTCTATACTCTATACTCTATACTCTATACTCTATACTCTATACTCTATACTCTATACTCTATACTCTATACTCTATACTCTATACTATTATAATAAAGCGTAAACACACACTTTGTTGCCTAAGATGTCAGCAATTACAGCATATTTTTGAATAACTGTTTTTTTTTAAATTAAAAGCCGTACACGTACGCCACGCTTTAGGCTATATATTTTCACGCTATTAAACTTAGGGGTTAAATATTTTGAGTAAACACCCTAATGTGGGAAAGAGATCATAAGTTGCTGCCAACATCAAGGAAGCCAGGATTTACATTTACAATTGAAAATTTGACAAATGTAAACAATAAATGTTACCAAAATGAAGCCGCACGGGAACAGCTAGTGCTTGTATAAGATGGCACATACGAATTTCAGATAAGTTAATTGAAAAAAAAAACATTTTTTCAAATTCCTACACTAAAACCTTATAATATAAATAAAATGTTTCATCTAAGTATACGGAAATCGTAGCATAAAATGCTGTCCATTATTCAACGCCATAAAATAGGATCACGCGCAGTTTGCAGAAGCGCGGGGAGATTTGCTCAAGGACTAGTATAAGAAACTAAATACGAAGTGTTCATGTTACGTCCACGTAATACTTCTGACTCACTGACTACCGCGGAAACTGCCCAGAGCGTATTGGATCACAAATTCAACCAAGTTCGTAATATTCAGCGGTAGAAGATTGAAGTTCATAGTTATAATGCAGGGGATATAAACTGCTAATTTTATAGCTAGAAAATCATACATAAACCATAATTATTCCGCGCATTAATCTCTAAAGTAGCCAAAACAATTGCAGACATCAAAAATATATAACGAGACTAGTCTTTCAAGAGACATTATGGATATACATTTGAAGTTTAGAGAATGCTTATTCCAAGAAAACTTTACGCGATTGTTATGTCTAAAGAGTCGTTTATAAAAACAGTGAAACTAGTCTAAAAATACACGTCAAAATGTTAGTAATTATTACTCGTAGAATAACTATAATAGAGACATGCTTTATGGCTACTATAGTATAAATTATAAATTAGTTATACGAGTAAAATGATTACAAACTGATATTAATCAAACTTATGTATATTATATATGCAAAAGTTGAGATGGATGGATGTTTAATACGAGTTTGTTGCCTAAACGACTGAACGGATTTCGTTGAAAATTGGTATTGATGTAAAGAATAGTTTGGGAGAACACATAGGCTAATCACTTTTGTTTTTTTTTTAATTCCACGCGGACGAAGTCGCGGGCGAAAGCTATAATTCATAAGTATGATGTCGAGATGGCAAGTATACAATAAGAGAAATTGAATACTTCCTTCAGAAACATAATGGGTCATTTACTAAACGAGTAAAGTGCTGCGAAGGTTCAAGGAACGCCTGCTGAGATACCGTTGTAGAGTAAAAAGGTTGGCTTAAATATTTTTAAAGAGGATGTGAGAAGTCTGACTTGAATTTTGAATTTATTAATAAACTATGAACATATCTTGTTACAGATAGATTGTAAAGTTATTAAAGTAACTAGTTACATAAATATCGCGTTTGATCTGTGATTAACATTGTTGTATTTTATCACCCAAGGTTCAGTTTCCACGCTCTCGTATCAGAAGTAATTAAAATTATTAAAGATGTTTAAAATCACAAAGTAAAACAGTGACCTGAAATTTATCATTTATTTCATTTGATTTCAAATCCTGTATCCAGTATGTAGTAAATCTGATCTTGTCAGAAAACATTATCGGAAGCCATATTTAAAATTTGTCATAGAGTAGATATCCCGCTTTATGTTACCAAAATGATTAATTACACAGAGTACATTGAGATAGTTAATAGTCAGTAAACAATACATTGTTATGCAAAGGATGTGACCCATCAAATTCTATGTTACTATTTATGGTAACGGAAACCGCTTAATATGTAACCATGGTCCAACTATAGAAAAACAAAATTTAATCCTCATATTCTATTTACTCACACATCTGAAGTGGAGAATCTACCTCGAACCATCCTTACAAGCAACTGCATTCGTCTTCACACGAACCTCGTCGTAATCATTTGTGTTTATCTTGTATTTAGATAGAGCACTGTTTACTGTAGCCGGCATCAAACTGTATCGCAGCATACGTCTAGAAAATCCCTGTACAAACTTGGCAATCTGTTGCTTTGTATTTATGTTCCGTTTCAGCTCATAGCATCAACATTTTATAAATAGACTTCGTTCTGAGCCAAGCAATTAAGCTACACGTATTCTACAAAAGTATTGCATTAAGAATGTGTTTGTCGCACTCGGTCATAAGGTACAACTTTCGCTTCGTTCGATTACGTTCGTTTTGACAGCGGTCGGGGTTGTTTCGGGAGTATCGAAGCGCGTGTGCGAAGTGCGCGTGCGCAGAATGGCAGCCAAGGCGCGAATACGAGGCCGCTTTCGGCGCGAGTTGGGCGTGCTCGCGTCACCACACCCGACGACTAAATGATAACAATCCTACAAATTACACTATACATGACGTCTCGGCAACTCTCCGTTCAGTCTGCATTGGTGGCGTGCCAGCGGGCACCGCCGCCCCCCGTATTTCATACAATCTGCATCACAAGGTCAAGCGTGAAAAACCGCTTGTAAACGGAACGTCGCTAAAAGTTAATTCTGGTTGTTATTCACAAGGTCCGTTGTTTATTTTGCAAAGAACAAAAGCAGTCTTTGTAAGCGAAACTCCTTACAGATGTGAATACTTCATACTAAAACAATAACAATAATACAACTGAATTATTAGGTGTGTTTTAATTGAAGTCAATTTCTGGAAGTCATTTTCTTGACTTGTTTGTTTCATTATGTTAGCGTCTATTTATACTACAAAAGCACGATAAACTCCATAAACAACAAAGTAGAGTAGGCAGAAACAAACTGCTCACATTTTCCTATAGTAGGTACAGTAAACAAATGCATTAGAAGTGACGAAAGTGGTACATCTTTTGCCAACAAAATTGCATCACAGTACACTTATTGTTAGGCTGAAAAACAATTCATTCATCACCTACGAGAGGTAAAGAAAAGTTGCCCGCACTCATGAATGTGTCTAAAAATAAACAAAAGCCACAAGCCGTGCTTCCCTCATTGAACTCGACCACTATACTGAAATATACTTTACTGCGTAATGAAATCATACTCTGATATACAGTTTTGTCGAACTACGAGGATCTGCGTAGTTTCAAAACGTCTTACACCGTGTTTGTGTTTTGAAATAATCGTGTTGAAGTGCACATCGGCTGTTTGTATACTGACTACAAGCTCTTGATCAACTCACAGGGTATTTTCACCAGAAGAAAAGAGAATATTGCTATGATGCAATGATGGTAACCAGGCTTTTTACAACCTTACTATTTGAGACCTAATTCAAATTAAATCGTTGGTTGAATAACATTTGAAACATTTGATAACAATACACACATTTTCTTTTCTTTCTTATTAAAGTCACTGAATTTAAGATCTGTTATGCCACATTAGCCATATTTTGCTTGTATTATATGACTAGCTGTTGCTCTCGATTTCGTCCACGTGAAATTAAAAAAATAGTAAACGATATAGTCTATATTACTTACAGATAAATTAACTTTCTAATGGCAAAAAAAAACGGCCCAGTAGTTTTTTTAGTTATTTCTACACATACAAAAATACATAAATACAAATCTTTCCTCTTTAAGTTTAGTATAGATATAAATTAACTCACCTATTATGCAGGTCAACAGGCTTGGCCATAGTAAACTCCTTCGCGTGTACATTAAGCTTGTTTGTGGGCGTGGTTGTAGTGCCTGTTGTACCGGAGCTGGTTGCACCGCCTGTGGTAGCTGTTGCCGCCGTCGTCCCAGCGACAGTCGCCACGCCGTCTGTGCGGACGCCTGGCGGTCAACGGTGGTCGTCAAGAGAAGAGGTGATAGGACAGGTTGTGGGCGAATGAACAATGAAAGGAGTGTAACAGGTAGATTACAAATGAGTGCAAAGATTTGTGTTTCATAAATTAGAAAGTGATTAATAGTTTAAATGTGCTGAAAATTAGGATGTTCAAAATGTATTAGGGGTTAAATAAATAAAATGTGAATCGATAATTGGAAATTCTAACTATTAAATTCACCATTTTAATAGGCGTCTTTTTTAATTTATTTTAATAGGCGTCTCATTATTATATTTTTATTATTTTTTCTGTTACGTTGTGAAGTGACCATATGATACAGTCTCAATCAAAATTGTGTAAATAAAGGAAATCTTATCGCAGACGTAGAGCCGGGTATAACACAGTAGCGCCGCGTTTCGGTCAAATGCACAAACTTTCATAAAGATTTACAGCCAGTCAGTACACCAACTAATTAGTTTTAATTTCAACGCTTCGCAGACTACTTCATACGTTTTTTTCCTCTAATACATTTTTAATTTCTACTATAAATTATAAAATAGTTACTTAATACTGACAAGAATATCTCTCAATCATTAAAATATAATGCTGTTAATTCTTGTGCGGGTATCACATATTTCTTTGGGAAAATCGCGCAGTGTAAGTACGAAGACGTAAAGGATGTTATTGCAATGGTTGTAAACGACGTTTTGATGACATGTCCTACTTTTTTATATCTTTATCATTGATATAAGAAGCTGACGAAAGCAAATAGGGACAAAGACCAAAGAAACCTGAACTTTCAGTCACGACAATAGGAACATCCGCGGGAACAGCTGCGGCGGGTACTGTGACTGGAGAGACAGGCGGCGCCGCCGGGGGCACAGCCACCTCTGCCAGCGGCTGTGCTAACGGCTGCGCCAGCGACTGTTTCACTATACACCTCGACATTTCTTATTTCTCGTACACATCAACACAAACAGAAGGGTCCACATTCGCGCTGCACTGACACAAACATCGGACTGTCGGCGGCGCGTTCCAAATTTGTTGTTTTGTTTATTTTTAATTTTGGCGCCAATTTTATTCGGCGATGGTTGCCAGCAAATTCAACCCACGGACGAGTATCGCGGTGAAATGTTTTTAAAAAACTGATAAATTATAAACCTGCCATTCATCGGCTTATTTTCTTAAATCATAAATTAAATTAATATTTTAAAGTAGGTTAAATCATTTTTTTACTTTTAAAAGTAAGTTTTCCGCACGAGTTTCTCTTATGTCTATTTCAAACGGTTTATATTTTAGGTTATTTGTTAAATTTAATATTATTTGATTGTTACCAATTAATATAATGTAAGGAAATTTAGGAAATAGGATTATAATGTTCGTTAGTAAGATTAGTTGTCACATATACTAACCGGGAGGTCTGTAGATTTCTAGAGTAGGCTTTCCCTTGGCGTTCGTCAGTATCATGCTGCGCCGTTTCCCATTGTTCGGAAACTGCAACAAGACAAGTTTATATTAGTACATGTAATGAAACCGTTTGTTATTAAAGTAGTTATGTATCGTTCTAATCGTTTGAAAGTAATTGTTTTACAAACATTGTGTCTAACGTAGTGCTAGTCGCTGGATTATAAGTAATGAAATGATGAATTATTTCGATTTGAAAAACGCATACCTACAAGACCTTACATATTGTAAGATGGTAGGGTGATGATGATGTACTATGTGAAATATAGTCATTGTAAGTCATGTTAAGTTGACCGTGGTGATGATTGACTAGAGTTTAGTCACTCCTATCTTAGTGTAGGCTCCGAGCCCATCAGTGGCGACGAATAGTGAGCAAATGATGGCGGTGTTTAAGAGATTTAAATTTGACATTTTACACATCTACTAACTTGATTTCAATTATGTTTTATCTTTAGTAATGTTTGATGTAGTATCATTTTGAATGTAAATTTTTTGCACCGTTCGTCTACCGCGTATATGTTTTCTAAGAATGATTCAATTTGAGGAATTATCACAGTTTATTTTCGCGGACGGACACAACGAGATGACTGCTTTCAGACTCATCGCCTAATTTAATACTAGAATATAAATTACTCATATTTATGTTTCATATATTTCACGCAGGTATTTTTTTTTATTTATTGCAATAATAATTACTTTCAGCCACTAAACACACGCTTTAGGCTATATATTTTCACGTTATTAAACTTAGGGGGTAAATATTTTGAATAAAAACCCTAATGTGGAAAAGAGACCATAAGTTACTGCCAACATGAAGGAAGCAAGGTTGCCATGCTTTGTTATCATGTCATGTCATTTTGACATTTGCAATTGATAATTTGACACATGTTAACAATAAAATAAAGTTTTTATTACTCCATGCGGATGGAGCCACATGGGAACAGCTCTCTCTCTCTCCGGATCGTTTCCTCATTCCTGAGGGTCGCGACAAGCTAGTCTACAGCTAGTCAGTAATAAATATTCTCGGCTGTATAAATATATTTATTTGCATTTTCGTTCATACTATGTCTATATCCTTAACAATTGAAACCCAAAACAATTTAGTTCTTATGACTTTTTTAAGTATTATTCTTTTTAAATAAACATGTATTCAAAGGCATTTTAATCAGTTACTGGCAGTTATAAAACATCATAATGCTTGTTATGGCAATGAAATAAACGTCTTAATAAAATTACGCCTACAGTTTAATTATATAAGTTATGCCAAGTGGAATAACTTGTCAACTTATAAGTACTAGCGTCGAGTAATTCAATTATTGGTTGAATATACAAATGTGAATTGAATGTATAAAATCAAATCGCTACATTTACGAGAATTACGTTATGAAAATGTGCAGCGGATATTAAAACGTGAATGGTGCAGAAGATCAGTTCAGAGAGAACTGATGTGTTCCTCTCGAGATCTAGGGACTCTATAATCGCACTCGAGGATGTCTACCGAGGGGTTTATGTGAGACAAGTCTTACTTAATCTCTTAACTTCTGGGGGAGAAGGCAGGATATCTTTTAAAAATTTCCCCCAATACCTAAAAGAGGTATATAGAGAAAAGGGTAGAGTCAACAACAAGAGATATATAGAGAAAGTTAGAGAGAGGTAGAGATAGAAATGGTAGAGAATTGAACGCTAAAGTCACGTGACCCTTAACTGAGAAACCAAAATTATAATATTCTAATGAATAAGGACAATATTAAGGTAATCAAGTTTTGTGATGTTCACGTAGGCGGTGTTATATTGCGTATAACGCCTACATGCTTGTAATGTCAAAACTCATTTTAATAAACGACCTAACCTTAATCCTGTTAGATTTAGTTTTCTGACTTGATTTGATTACTCCTTTATCTTCTTCGATGTTTTTTGCAGTTTACAAAAAGAAACCAATTCATAACTGGTATAGTTTAAATAAAATTTCTTTTGTTATAATATGGTATCCTGGTTGAACGAAGTAGGGGACTGTGAACTACGTAATAAAAAAACTCAATTACCTGGTTGTGATGCATATTGTGGTGTGACTGCGGGCGTATGAAGCTGCGCTCCCGCATTATGACGCCGGGCGACGTGAAGTCCTGCATCCTGTAGCTGCGCTGCAGCTCCCCCATTTGGGCTTGCATTTTTACCTTCTCTATTCTCGTAACTGTTTAATCTTTGACAGTTCCCGCCTTTTCTATTCGCGTCTTATTTGACAGCTGACGTACGGGCGATGCGTTCTTTATCGCTTTCACTTTTTCTTTGGTTGATACGCGCAATTATTTTTTTAGTAATTCACGATATACTTTTCTCCAAAACTCTTTTAATATTTTATTTATTCTACGAATTATAAGATTATTAATAAAAATAAATACAAACTAGATGAATGACTAGTATAACAGTTACGTTGAAACAATGTCAATATGTTTTTGTTAAATATTTTCATTTATATTTACAAAATAGGTGTAAAAGTGTTTAAAGCGGGCAATATACACGTTCAGATGCGTGCGCTATATAGTTCCGAAGCTTTAATATTAAAAATAAAAAAATTTAATCACAATTATATGTATTGTGACGTAAGAATAGAGATCAATACTCCAATTTATATATGCATATATAAATCTTAAAACAAAGAAACCCCATCTGTCGTGGCCACTGATAGAGGGATTTCTGGACGACTTTTTCGAGTTTTTTTTTTCGTTTTTCTTAATACGACTTATAAAGAGCGGTGCAGGTTTGTTTGGTGCCTGACAGTCACGGAGCGATTATTAACAATTTCTCGAGGGGCAAAGAAGCAGCGGCTTCTTCGGCGCCAGTCTCGATTCGTTTTCGGAGAGTTCTTTGAACCCTAATCTGTAACAAAAACATAAAGAATTATTGTACAAATGTGAACAAATACCCGAAAGAAACCATCATTTAGGTAAGAAGAATATTTCTATTCGTAACTTAACTATCATATAATTATAAAGTTTGGATGAATGGATATCAGATATCTCCGAAATGGCTTAATGGATCTTGATATAACTTGGTACAGATGTAGTACATAATCTGGAAGATCACATAGGTTACCAAGGTCAATGCTAGAGATAAATAAACACTTTTTGGAATACAAGATAGATTGGAAGCCCCAGATATAAATCCAGAATCGTAAGTACCGAATGTTTTCATAGTATTTTCATTTCAATCAACACCACATATTGCAATCTTTGGCAATATAACTGGGAGAATAATATGATATGGAGCCAAAATATAGCAACGTGTCATGGCTTGAGACAAAACGCAGAGCCCTGGATGGAGAGTACTGGAGTCGCACTGTGGAGCCCCCTGCCCTACTTCGGAGGACAATAAAAAGAAGAAGAAGCGTAGATCAATCTATTTAAATAAAATCTATTTACTGCTCCATTTATATATTGTTTACTTCGATTGCCAACACACTACTTTAACCAAATATTAGGTTTTTTAATCATACTAATATTATAGATGCGAAAGTTTAGATTGATGGATGGATGTTAGAGTTTGTAGCCTAAACGGCTGAAAGGATTTCGATGAAATTTGGCATAGACGTAGAGGATAGTCTGGAAGAACACATAGGCTACTTAGTTTTGTTTTTTTTAATTCCACGCGGACGGAGTCGCGGGCGAAAGCTAGTTTTGACATAAAACCAATAAAAAATAAGAAAACAGACGAACTGTGAAACATCTTCAATTTCTAAACGCTTTAAAAAAAAAACAATAACAATTTATTTAATTACTTAAATTATAACATTTACACACTTTTTTTTACCAATTGTTATACAGTTTTTCAGTCGTCCAAGGCCAATCGTTTCTGTTGCGAGCATACACTAAAACCGGTTCGAGATATCATTGCGTTGGAAAAAAATAAAAGAATTAAATCCGATACAGGTTTAACTGTGGACATATAAACAGAAAGTTCATGTAAGGGTTACACTGAATGTCAGTTACGTAAATCCATGGAAACACGACTTTATAATCCCTGGATACTTGGACAACATTTTTGCCCAAGTGATAATTAAGTGATGATAACGAGACGATGGGGACATAAACCAGAAAGTGTCAAGATTGAATATGAATGGCTACAAAGGTAGAGGAACACCGAAGAAAGTATGGATGAATTGGGTGAAAGAGGATATGCTTAAGAAAGGAGTGGATTCAGATATGACGGCTGGTAGAGATGTGTGGAAGAGCAGCACATACTGTGCCGACCCTCCGTAAGGGATAAGGGCAAGTGGATGATGTTCTTCGCAGATAGAACTTTCCGTTTACAGTTCTGTGAGTTCTTTAATTCAGTTACTTATTACACCTGCAAATACAAGTTAGAAGTTGTGTGTTGATTGTTTCTTTTATTGTAAAGTAGGTACGATTAGATACAAAAATATGAGTCGCGAGGGCGTATAGTGGGACAGCTGCCTCCTTAGAAACTCAGAGTTTAGATGGATGGAATTATTGTTAGAGTTTGTAATCTTAACTACTCATCGGATAGTCTGTAAGAACACAGAGACGTCTTTCTATTTTTATTTCCCGACGGAAGGAGTCGCAGGCGAAAGGTAGTATGTCATATTAAAATCTAGAGTTGCAGTTGTAAGTGATTACAAGACGCATTGCGCGTATATTTATGGTGTTAGGTTGGGCGACATCTGTTTAAGAAAACAGTTAGTTAACTAAGTTTTATTTGTTTAAGACTTATGGGGCGTTATAGTCGCTTCAAAAAGACCCATTTCGCAGTATATTTTTAATTTTCTTTTAAACTGTGATATCAAACCTCTTTCTTATATGTGACCATTTCCAAGCAGGATTTAACTTTAAGTGTTGATTCTCAGAAGTTATATACGGGCACTAATGTTGAATTCTAGTAAAGTCAACGGATAGCGGTGCAATTAATTCTACGGCACGCCTTTGCGAGGGCTACCAACATTAAAGAAACTATCGAACACTGACTATAAAAAAACCTTTTAGTGACTTGTGAAGTTAGTAACTTGTGAATACTCCATGGACGAAATTAAAATGAGAAATAATAGACATCGATGTTAAAGCCACAGTTCGAATTTAAACCATGCAAAACAAGAGAATTATGGTTAAATTAGAACAGGTGGCAACCCTAGATATGGCCGAGTGTGCTCAGTGTCACGGCATGCATCTATTAATAACATTATTAGGTGCGGAGTTCAAGAATTTGTCGACACAAATGCATTGTATCTAAGAGTAATTGTTGCTCGCGACTTTGCCAACGTGAAATTAAAAAATAAAAAAAACAGCCTATGTTACTACACTGATAACGTACCTTTCTTATGGTAAAAGATTTTTGAAATCGGCCCCGTAGTTTTTGAGTTAATTCAAAACATACAAAAATACAAATCTTTCGTCTTTATAATACTAGTATAGATAGAATTAGACAATATCGCTTTGTCATAGAGGCTTGGAGACAGTAATTTCCCTAAAAATTCGTTTAAGAACTAAAAATACTTGTAAAGAATTTGATAGCTTATGGTCGGTTTTCCACCTGGTTACCTCGCCTACGCGAATCCCAGATGTGGAAGATCATACACCTTCCCTGTTGGACCTTCTGCTGACCTCACATCCGGACAGCTATT